CTTATTTTTTAATATGAAATAAATTATTTAAATTATTTCCAAGGTAAATTAATCTTTTCAGGGGATTTTTACATCCTCTTGAGGACTGTTTCTTTGTTATTCTGTGACTGACTAGCATAGAGAATGATCGGCCACTATGGTTCTTATCCTAGGGTTGTGTTGATTTCAGCATTTCTGGAAAAGAAGTTGCTTTCAATTAGGCTTTGGTGAGACTATTTAATCAAAACTTTTTTAGACAGTATGCCTGTAAAAGCATGGACTGTGAAATGTATTTCAATTTGGAGCTTAACTGCAACCACTGATCTTTCACATGGGGAAAACCTCGAGGAAATGGAGTTATGCGTTCATGATCTGTGCCTAAATAGTCTTGAGTGATCATTTTACCAGTTTCTAAAACTCCTAAAAGCTTTGTAAAAAAACTGTTGAATATGGGGATAAAAACCAAATCTGTGCAATGAAAAGCAAATATAACTGAATAATAAATATATTTAGAGTTTTACTTTTTGATACACGTAAGATTGTTGTTTTATTGTTGTATTKTTGAAGTCACTGAAACTTAAGCTGAATCAAGGTCAGAAAGGAGTGTCACCTACTGTCTCCTTTGCTTGCATCAAGCTGTGGCCTTACATTAGTAGGTAGGTTGTGCACAGTCTTATACAGGTGGGCCTGTATTTTTACATCTTTCCCAGTTGCCCTTGATGCCACGAAGAGGTGCCCATTTTCAAATTGTTCTGTGCTAAATTGCTGTGCATATTGTCTTGACAAAACTCAGCCCTGCTGGAGATGCATTCACTGTGGTGGTGTGTTTCCTGCTCTCTGGCAGTCCTGGCTCTTCTCTTATGCAGAGCACACAGAGACTGGCCTCTTTTAGATATGCCACATGAGGTGGGTTTAATGTGTTATTACYACATTTTCTTATATAAAGACTTGGTGTTAGATGGGATTTGGATTTTTAGCAGACTGAAGCAGCATGGACAACACAAGCACAGTCTAGTCTAGCTGCAACCTCCAGCTAGATCACAATATGAATGAAATTCCCATTATGCTYACTGTCATGATGCTGAGTATCTCCAAGGACCAGGAAGAAGTACGTGGGTTGAAGCCAGCTCAAGTCTGTAGCTCTCTTCAAAGCTTATTTTGTTGTTTTTGTTTTGTTTTGTTTTGCTCTGAGTCCCATGGGCAGGGTAGCTGTGGTGAAAATCTGAAGAACCATTGCCTGTGCTCGTGTCCCCTGAGCTGTCTTCCACTGTAGTGGTTTGATGATCTGTCACAGCTTTGGGCATGGAAATGTTCATGGCTGCATTCAAGATGTAATTTTAATGTTTTTTGTGGCATATTTTAGGCCAGTGTAAAGAGCTAAAAAGGGTGGAAGTTGCTGGAGGAAGGCTGTTCTGGGAACTTTGTGCCCCAGCCATGTCATCAGGGCACCGTGACCTCCTGGCCTCCTGGTCTTGTAAGGAGCCTTGTGCTGGCAATAGTGGCTGGGCAGGCACTGTGTCCCTCCTCAGGGGCTGCCACAGTCTCACTGCTCTGAGCAAGGCCTAGGAAAAGTCAGCAGCAAGCAGATTAGTGTGGGAGGCAGAGGAAGAGCCTGCAGTGCCTTGGCAGCTGCTAAACCACAGAGAGAGAGGAAGACACAGCCCTGCAGTGGTAGCTTGCCTGCAGGATTTAGAGCCTCAGCACTTCACATCTTCACGCTCTATGCCAGGCCAGCTGTCAATTGCAGAATATAGCCTCGAAAATGGTAGTAATTCTCATTTTATTGCTTATTTCGGAAGGCTGTACTCTTGGTGTGCCCAAGAAGCTGCAAGCAGAAGAGAACACAGAGGTGGTGCCCCCTCATTTGCTCTGCAGTGAGAAGAAACAGGTCACCCTTGCTGGCCTTGGGCTTGGTAATATCCATCCCTAGTATGGGGTGGCTGTGAGCTGCAGYGGGGCACTGGAAGTGAGAGGAATCGCCGCTTGGACATGCCACAGCACCATTTCAGAGCAGGATCTCCGAATTTGTGCTGGAGCCACTGCAGTCTGCCCACAACTTGTCTGTGCTGGGCAGCCCTGAGCTGGGCTTGGCACTCCTCACATTTGGCCTCCCCAGCACTGAGGCTAGAGCAAGGACAAATTCTCCCAAGCCTCTCTCAATGCATTTCTAAATACAGCTGAGGATGCTGTTGGTTGTTTTTGCAGCAAGCCAGTGTTGCTGGCTCAGGCTCAGCTTACTGTCCAGCAGGGCATCAGAGAGCTCTGCAAAGCTTCTTCTCAGCTGCACAAACCCACAGTGTGTGCTGGTGCATGGAGCTACTTCTGAAATGCAGGCCTGTGCAGTTGTCCTTGCTGTGCTTCATCACAGTCCTCCCTGCCTAGCTCTGCATTTCTCCTGTTGAGTTCCCCTAAAGTGCAGCACAACTGCCTGCTGCACTTTCACTCCTCCCACTTTTATGTGCTCTGCAAACTCACTTGAGTCTGCGCTGTCCCATCCTGCCGGTCACTAAGGGAGAGGTTCAACAGCTTTGGATTTGTTTTGTAAATAGTTTATGTTTTCCTGCTCAGAAATCCAGGCTGACTACTCCTGATCCCCTTCTGGTTCTTCATGCCTTTGGAAATGCTYTCCAGGAGGATTTTCTCCCTCATCTTCCAAAGGATTGTGTGAGACTGTAGTTCATTCATCATCTTCCTTACATGGTTAGAAGGCAGGGCTGAGTCAGTCCTTTGCAACCTTTCCCGTTCACCTCTGCCTTTCAAAGAGCACTGAGAGTGGCCTTAGGATGCCACCTCCCTCATCACATTTGGGTCACACCCTGGCCCCACAACCTGTGTACATACACGATGGTGAAGTGTAAGTTTACCTGGTCTTCCCGGTTCTGATCCTCCCTTTTCTGGTGTACAGCAGGTATCTACTTACCTACCTCCTTACTTACCTACCTACTATATGCGTTTTTCTCTGCCAGCTTTCCCTCTCCCTGCTTAAAATTCTGCTCTTCTGAGCTACTGGCATTTGCTGCTTCTGTCAGCGCAGTAAGCTCTCCTGAATAAGACCTTTGTGCAGAACTAGAGGAAAAAGGTTTCTGAGTTTAATTTTCTGTGTCACAATATGGCAAACACTATGCCCAGTTCTTTCCAAATCACTTTGAAAAAAAAAA